AATGAATTGGTTTTGATATTTGCAAATACAATCTAGATTTGATAAAGATGTTAAAACAAAAGGTATCTATGATAAGTTGACTGACTTAGATAAAATTTTGACAGATACTGATGAAAAAGTAATTTAAAAACTTTATGGACATTTGCTGGAGTTTAAATTAGAGGAAGAACAAGTTAAAGAAACAATGATTGCGTGGGGGAAAAATTTTGGTCTCAAAATTATAAAATGACAATGCAAACTGCATATAAAGAAAATTTGTATAAGATGTTTTACAGGTGGCACTTACCCCCAACGAAAATTGCGAGAATGTTCAAGAATAAATCGGATAAATATTGGAAATGTCATCAGATACCTGGTTCATATTACCATATGTGGTGGACATGCTCAGATGCAAAAAGATATTGGACTATAATCCACACAAGGTTGGAAAAAATGATAAAACAACACATAGACTTTAAACCTGAGATATTCTTATTGGGAATTATACTGGAAATATACAGTAAAGAATTGAAATATTTGATTGTAAATGTTTTAACAGCAGCTAGAATTGTATTTGCTAAGAATTGGAAAAATGAAAAAATACCTATGCAGGAGGAAATTATTAAGAAAATCATGGACTGTGCCGAAATGAGTAAATTGACATTTGAAATTAGAGAACAAGAAGACAAACAATTTAATATGATATGGGATTTATTTTATCAATGGTTAGATAAAAAGACATGGTAAAGAAATAGATTAGGAAGCTTCACAATAAAAGTTAATAGATTGATATAGAATACAATATAAAATATATAACCATTGGATGAATGTATAAGATTAAACTATAATGAAATTTAGAATATCTCGTATAGAATGATGGAAAAATAGTTTAGTCAAATTAATGATTAATAATTGATATTACATAAGCACGTTAGATTGATAAGGTGAGAATTTATACAACTTGTGAGTAATGGTAAAAAAAAGGATAGCACAAAAGATTGTAACCAACTGACACACTGTATGTATATAATTGAAAGATGGTGTTATGTTTTTATGTTTTGTTTGTATGTTTGTCGTAAAAAATAAAAACTTTACAAAAAAAAAATGAATTGTGCACCATCTTTCCAAGAAAAAAAGACAAAACTAAGATGGTATTTTGGAATTCTGGGATAGAGGTGGTAACTTCATGTCTTGTGAATAGATAGAATCATAAACATGGCAATGGCTTTGTAAGAATTTCATGTCCACATTCTCCAGCTTCTAGTGTGCCCTCTTACAAAGTTGGGAACTCTTGGTATACGTGATACCTAGAATATTGAATGCATTTTTGTGCAAATAGCAGTGAATGTTGTGAATGTCATTTAATTAATTGGTAGGGAAGAGATAACAACACTGAGTGGAACTGTGAATATTTTTGAGACACAACAACACAGAGTTGCACCAATGGGACACAATCCAGAAATCTCAGGAGGGTAGTGTAGATTGGAAAACCAAATAAAAATACATCAAGAAGGAGAATATTTCATAACTTTTATATGTTAACAAGAAGAGTACACAGATACAGACATGTAAGTATCAGGAGTCAAGCTCGACTTGAGAAAGTCACTATAATTTAATGGATATTTTTGATACTATGGAGAACTTTCTTAGTGTGGATGTGTCTGGTTCATGTACCTCAATCATTCATCAAATGGAGCAACATTTTAAATACCTGGTTCAAGATTAATCATTACTGGAAATTAAATAGTGAGCAATATACAAAGTATCACCATTCACATTTTTGAAAAGGGTTTGAATTGCTTAGAGTGATTTGAATCAGAAATCTGTCCATTTAGGCACTCTGCAAAAGGCATCAGTTGCAGTCAGGAATTATTGTAGATCCAGAGACAATTTCTTTGTCAGTATTGTAAATTTCTCCATATAACATAATTGACATCCCTATTTTAACTGAATCATTTTACTGCAGGCACATTTTCACTCAATCATAACTAGGATCTGTGCTTCAGTTGCTTTGAGGAAAGATTTCTTCTTATTTCCACATTTTTGTATGATTATAAGAAGAAATCATGCATCGTGCCTCTTAATATAAGATTTTGCAAGTCAAGTTCCCTTATATGATGCATTTTGAGCACCTTAGTTTTTAATATATACATTTTAATTTGTACATTTTTAAGACTGCCCATTGCAACACAGCATTCAAAAATTATAGGCATGTATTATATAATCATGTCCCAACTAGCTAATTATTTTCTTGCATCTTTTAAATTACTCATAATTGCAGTCCTCAGACTCGTTATATTTTGTGACTTACTTAGCTATTCAAAAACAAAAGGAGGAAAAAGCCCACAAAAACAAACATTTCATGTATTAATAAAATCTAGTCTTACATACATATACTTTTTATAATTGTATAATGACATTATCAACATTTAAATATTTTAACAATAGAAAAATAGTTAATTAAACATATAACTTATAAAGGCAGTCTACATTTCTAAGATTATTCCAGTCCGATTGCTGGTTATACAGCCTTTGTTCAGGTTTAGAAACATAAAGGAATTTGTTAGGCCACTGATGGGGAGGGAACCAAAAGAATCAAGATGGCAGCTAAATCTCTCCAGTTAAAGCCCTGCCCCTTTTTTTATCTGTGATGCATATAAAAAAAGGGGGGGCTGTAATTACCCAGTCATGGATGCCATTTTAACTTTTTTGATCTCCATCTACAGATATTCTGAGACATTGCGGTGCCTTTCCCGCAATGTTAAGATATGGGGAGTTCAACTCCCAGAATTCCTTAGCCCACACGAAATAACACATTTTAAAGTTGTTGAGACTGAGAAACATGGAGCCATTGTATAATTACCGAGAAGGGGTATTTTTCTAACCTTCTTGCATCAACCATTTTGTGTTCATCAAAGCAAGCGATGTCCATTGTGGTTCACCTCCTGTTAATTGAAAAGTACATAAGCATCTACAAAAGCCAATCAACCATCCAATAGAAAATTAAAAGGTGCTTTAGATATCTTTTAGTGTGTGCTTTATAGTACCACAAATCAAATGAATCAGTGTTGCTTTTAGAATACCATTATATTCAACAATTACTTGAATTCATCTGTTTTGTCCTGCACGCATACTTGTTCAATGTTGAAATAATTATCATTTTAAACCTGCAGACATACAGATATTAAAACAGCTTTCCATTGACATGTGTTTCTCTGCACATCTTTATACTTCTGAATAGCTGATTTAGTACATTCTAATAATTGTTATAGCTACAGTTGTAGCTACAGCTACAGTTGATAAGTTCAGATAGGTTTATTACCCTACATTCACAAATGAAATATTTTACTATGTCTTACTTAAGACTTTTCTGAAACTAATCAATATGATGATTGAATCTAGTTTAATATTTCTTTTACAAAAAACAACTGCTTTAAATATCAGAATGACTGATTGAATTTAATAATGAATTCGTTATCAAAGGCCATTAAATTAATGTATGCAGAGGAAACAGAAAATATTGGTAGTCTTGCCTCATATAAAGTGAAATCCTAATTAATTGGACGAAAGAATTTACAGTAACAAGTATTACTGTGCAAACCATTAAGAAAGAACAAAAACAGAGATGGTTAATATCAAAGATATACTGTATTTAACAGATGTAGTAAAATGATTTAGTCTCTTTTGAAAACAATTTAGTCTCTTTTGAGATCTGGGAAGAGTCAAAATGATGCGATATTTCTACGCTGATGTAGAAATTTTCTTTGAACTAGGAATCTCCTTCTCATCCTGAAATATGGAAACTCCATGTTTTACAGCATGTCTAGCAAGGCAAGGAGGATGTTGGTTTCATATGTTGGTTGTCAGCATCTTAGAAGTTTCTGGTTTATGACACAAAACAGGATATCAGATTGAATGGAATTTCTGTTGGGTCTAATGGGATCTCAAAGTAGTTGTTTTTTTCTAAATGGCAATTGAATTTTCTTGGTGTTTTCTTTGAAAACATTTCACTTCTCATCCAAGAAGCTTCTTCAGTTCAGAGAACTGAAATTTCAAGATTTCAAAAGAAAATATTAAGAAAGCCCAGCTGCCTTTTGGGGAAAAAAATACCCTTGGGACAACCATGATCTGGATGATTGAGAATCTCCATAGTCAGATCTAATGGGATTTACAGTATAGTTACTGCAGACATACTTTCTTCTGTGCAGCTGTTCCTACAGCTGTTGTTCTTTTTCTCTTTTCTTCATTTACATACTTGCCAGCAATGAGACAGGACGTGTCTGGACCTACTAAGTCTTACTATGCTACATTAAAGCTAGTCACAGCATCTGCAGGCACCAGGACTTGTATCCTAGGAAGTCAGGGATATGAAGTTACAAATGACAGATCCTGGAAGGTTACTCTAGCTGCCATCTGAGGTCACTGCCAATACTAGGACTCTATAAAATAACATGATCGTGGTCATGAGTTCCATGCAGCTCTCAGATCACCTGAAGATTACCACTCTGTGTTTTATAAATACAATAATTACATATTTGACATAGCTCTCAATTCCAAGTAGTGCAAAAATCAAACAAAATGCATATGAACTCCAGAGTTGTATTCCTCTTCTACATACATTTTCTTGCAATCTTTTATGTTACTCAGTGAGGCAAGCATTTAGAAAAAGCAGTAGCCGAAGATACAGCAAATCTACAAGAAGAAAAACGTGGAATATATTTATCACAAGTGTTCTGGAACACACTACATGTATGTCTCTGGTTTCGTAGCAGCTGACTTATATGGAAGGAATCCATTAAATTCAATTTTCCCCAAGTTTAGCACCTCCACCAAGAGAGGTGGTGTAAATCTTCTCTGGTCTATTTATGCAATCCACCCACATGCTGCAAAGGTTGCTTGGAAGAAGGGCCATCGTTGGCACATTGCAGAAAAATAACAAAACAAAATCAAAATAGATTTCCAAAGATGTCCTGTGGCAAAGATAAAAGTCATAAATATTTCCTTGGGGAAAAACTACAATCTCATGTTTTTTTGGAAGTCTGCGCATTGACCAATCTTTTCTTTGCCATAGTTGGATTGGATTGCACCTTGATTCGGGAGACTGCAGGCTTCTTCTGTTTCAGACCACTGTTTTGAAGGGGTTTCAGTCCTAACATCTCACAGTATTTGTTGCACAGGTGGAGAGCCTTAAACTGATCGATAAATGAGATGGAGCAATTGCCTTTGAAACCTTTGTACCTGCAAAAGGAGAGACAAGAATAAATGGATTTAAATCCTCTAGCTTCTTGTATTTTTTAAATAAATAATTCCCACTAAAATGCTTAATCTTCCTAGATTGAAATGACAAAAATGCGTGTTCTCTGTATTCATCCACATAAGCCATTGCTGGTATCACCCTAGTGGAAAAGAATGCCATCAACTTTATCCTCAAGAAAATGGTGTTGTGTCATTGCAAGTACAATGAGTGTTGTCCTCTTATTGGGGCTACAACAGAGGTGGGCAATTACTTTTCCTAAGGGGGGGTGTCACATGAGAAGCTTGGACTGTTGTGGGGAGCCAAACCAATAGGGTGGTGAAGTTGCAGAGGCCTCCACGAATACACGTACATACATTGGAGAAAAAATAGCACCCACCTTCAAAATAAAAAACAATTACTACCAACCTGCCTTTCATCGATAATGCACGAGTCAAAAAGAGGGCTGTGAAAATATTTACAGATCTCTCACATCCCGGACATAAACTGTTTCAACTCCTACCCTCAAAACGACGCTATAGAGCACTGCACACAGAACAACTAGACATAGGGACAGTTTTTCCCCAAACGCCATCACTCTGCTAAACAAATAATTCCCTCAACACTGTCCAACTATTTACAAAGTCTGCACTACTATTACTATTGACCTTCTCATCACTCCTTATCACCCATCCCCTCCCACTTGTGACTGTATGACTGTAATTTTGTCACTTGTATCCTTACAATCTATATTGACTGTTTCCTAGTATGATTTGATTGCTTATTGTACCCCATGACTATCATTAAGTGTTGTACCTTATGATTCTTGACTCTTCATGAATGTATCTTTTCTTTTATGTATACTGAGAGCATTTGCACCAAGACAATTTCTTTGTGTATCTAATCACACTTGGCCAATAAAGAATTCTATTCTATTCTATTCTATTCTATTCTATTCTATTCTATTCTAT